TTACTGTAAATCCGGCACTCGTGTTCATAAACGCCAGAGGAGAACTGCCCCCCAACTGAGCCTGAGTTCTCCCATGGTTTATTTATTTATCGGATCACCTGAGCTCAGTTGGGGATATTCAAATTAATTAACCAATCAGTAATACCATTGATCAGCTCTACCAAACGTGGATATTTTTGCACTAAGAAACAAACATTGTTATTATATTTTGATGGATACTGTGAAGCTGCTTTGATGCAATCTATACTATGAATAGCGCTAAATAAATAGACTTGACTTGACAAGAGGTGCCTGAACTCAGTCTGATATGAGTGTGTTCGTTGAGGTCAAAGACGACCTTTTTGCCTCGGGAACCAACACCCACTGCACAGTGTTCTTCTCGAAGAGCAGCGATGCGCTGGCCTATTTCCGGCTCAACCACCCCTTTATGCTTTTCCCCACATCTCGATCCAGGCCGTGTTTTCCGGAGCTGGTTCAGCTATCGGACACAATCCCTCGGCCTGTTTCAATGAGGAAAGTCCTTCTCACACAGGCCAACATGACAATATGGCATCCTCAACCCGACTTAGGGGCCCTCCATGTACGGCCCCTAAACAGGTACCCAGGGACCTTCCTGAAAAGGTCTTAAACACTATCCCTGAAGCCAGGGCCCCGTCTACTCGCCGCTTATATGCTTTGTAGTGGTCGGTTTTTCCAATTGGAGCTTGAGAAATCGTTGAGAAATCTTGAGAAATCGACCCAGAGTCATGTGAGGTATCTGTGGTACTCTCTTCCTGCAGAACAAGGGCCGCTCCCCATCCGTGCATCATGCTCTGGTGGCTGGCCAATCACTAGGAAGAAACGACCTGGTGGTATGGTTTCTAAAAGGTGCTAGGAGGATTAACTCCTCTTGATCTCCTTCTGTGCCTCCTTGGGACCTTGAAAGGTCCGCCCTTTGAACCGCTCCAGTCGGCTGATCTTAAACCTCTCTCACTAAAGACTGCTCTCCTGTTGGTACTGGCATCTATCAAGCGAGTTGGAGATCTGCAGGCTTGCTCAAGTGAGTCCTTCATGTTTAGAGTTTGGACCAGATGACTCCATAGTAATCCTCAAACCCAAGCATGGATATATACCTAAAGTGCTCTCAACGTCGTTCAGTGCACAGGTTATTACATTATTAGCCCTTCACCCTTCTGCCGAGGATGGGGAGGTTGATCTTCTCTGCCCTGTCAGAATGCTGAGAATCTATCTGGAGCGTTCTGCATCTTTTAGACAATCAGAACAGCTTTTTGTCTGCTTTGGTGGCCGATCTAAGGGTGATCCAGTCTCGAAACGAGCGGTTTGTTTGAGAAAACGAACAATATTTATATCGTTTTTACCTCTTGTAACCGCAGCAACATCCAAGTGATCTGAGGGAGCAGGTGGTTTGTGGCTGTGGTTACCAGAGTTAAAAACTATATAAATACTGTTCGTTTTCTCACACAAACCACTTGTGTCGTGTCTTAGGCCATCAATGTGTACTTACATTTCCGAGTCATTAAATTATTTTTAATTTGGACTTCTCTGTGCATGCTCTTTGAGGTGGTGACCATACACTGCATTATATGACTGACAGACAAGAACGGTTTGACCTAAAAATATCAAAATTGAAACTACTGTGGAAACAAAGACACCTACATTTTGGATGCCCCTGAGGTAAGCTAAAACATAGCAAAAAATGTATTTCAAAGTGAACTATCCCTTTAATACAGTTCCCTTAGGCCTTTATAAGACAGCTGTGACATTTTTCTGTCAAATAGTGTTCGGTGATCATCTGTGCAGCCAACAACAAAACAGTTTGCATGCTTTACTCAAACTTTTTCCATTGCGTTAGAACTGGGTGCACTGTTGTCGCTCGCAAAAAACAAATGGGTGGAAACGTGCAGATTAAGGGGCTGTAATATTATAATAAGATCCCTTTCCTACATCAGAAGGGGAGCGAAATATGATCTTGTGACACGCTTGCAAAGAAAGGCTTACCAAAACAAAGTTACTGGGTTGTCACTTTTCACATTTTCTGGGTTGGTAAATGCACCGGGGACCCGATTATAGCACTTAAACACTGAGGGGCGGTTTCCCGGACAGGGTTTAAATTAAGCCTTGAGTAGGCCTTAATCTAGAATAGTTAATCGTGTCTTAAAAAATGGCTTTTTGTACCACAGATTAAGTACAGATTAGTTACACTTGGACTATGGAGTCCTGAACTAAAATAAATCAGATTAAATTAAAACCAACTGTGCTAATCTGAATTAATATGACAGAGGTTGCCTATAAAACATGGAATGAACCAAGAAAAGCTTAAAATTGCATGGAACTGAGAAGCAAATCCAAAGAAAACAATGGCATCAGAAAAAGACTGCAATCAAAAAAACATTTACTAACAAGAGTAAATAATTTTTATGCAAGCTAAATAATCTGCTATGGAATAAAAGAGAAGGAATGTTGGGAAATCTGTTTGTGTGTGTGTGTATATATATATAACAAAATACTTACACAAAATCAACGATTTACAACTAGAATCAATGGTGTTCTTTAACAATGAATGGTTTTCATTTAATTATTCAAACAACTATAATTAATGCTTCTTGTTTATTCCTGTGATTTACATAAACTTACTAAAACATTAATTTACACATGTGGTGTTTTGTGTTGACAGTCTAGAAGAAATACTTTCAACTAGAGTAGTACCATAGTGGTTGCTTTATTAATTATACAGCTTGAATTTTTTGTACCAGGTCCTCGCTCCAAGCACAGGCTCAACACTTCACCAACACGGTAAAGTTTGTAAGTGAATGTCATGTATGACTGGGTTAACTTACTAGAAACATATTTCAAAATTAAAACATCAAGTTGTAACGATGATCGGCTGGATTGCCCTCGAATGCCATGAGAGGGCACTCCACTTCTGAACTGCTGTTCCCTGAACTGATTACGCAGACTCAACCCGTCTCCACTGTGTTCACCCCTGAGCCGATCCCAGTTCCAGGGCAAGCTCTCCCGGGAAAATTCGACAGCAAGGTATCAAGACGAGCCCACGCAGCGATGCTGAACACAGATACAGGAGCTGAGATTATGCGACTTCGTCAAGAAGCTCGATCTCTTGACTGGTATGTTGAAGAGTTTGTTGAACTTTCTCATTACACGTCTATGAGCACTCATTGCTTAACGATCTTTTTCCGTGGAGGGTTATCTGAACCACTTCGCTCATTGATGCCCAACCCTGAGCCTGACAGCACTTTAAGGCAGTATATTGATTCAGCCCTTCAACTGAGTGGTTCTACTCTCTCTGTGGGTAAGATGGGGAAGGAACTCCACGACGCCTCAGCATTCACCGAACCAGGGTCTACTCATGTTGCGCTGAATCTACTTGACATGCCTGAGCTTTTTCACAAAATGCCTGAGCTTCTTCCTGCCAAGACCGACATGCCTGAGTCTCTGTCTGCCGATCCCACGACTCACGTCTGCCCAGCCGAACCCGCGATTCACGTGAGCCCCGCGAGGGAATCTCCAGTTCAAGTGAGCGCTGCATCTCCAGTTCAAGTGAGCGCTGCATCTCCAGTTCAAGTGAGCGCTGCATCTCCAGTTCAAGTCTGCATCCAGTTCAGCGCTGAATCTCCAGTTCAAGTGAGCGCTGCATCTCCAGTTCATGTGAGCGCTGCATCTCCAGTTCAAGTGAGCGCTGCATCTCCAGTTCAAGTGAGCGCTGCATCTCCAGTTCAAGTGAGCGCTGCATCTCCAGTTCAAGTGAGCGCTGAATCTCCAGTTCAAGTGAGCGCTGCATCTCCAGTTCAAGTGAGCGCTGCATCTCCAGTTCAAGTGAGCGCTGCATCTCCAGTTCAAGTGAGCGCTGAATCTCCAGTTCAAGTGAGCGCTGCATCTCCAGTTCATGTGAGCGCTGCATCTCCAGTTCAAGTGAGCGCTGAATCTCCAGTTCAAGTGAGCGCTGAATCTCCATTTCAAGTGAGCGCTGCATCTCCAGTTCAAGTGAGCGCTGCATCTCCAGTTCAAGTGAGCGCTGAATCTCCAGTTCAAGTGAGCGAGTTGTCCAGCCCTGTTACGCGCCGCCCCAGGAGGAGGAGAAGGAGGACTCGTTCAGTTCGCCTGGCCCCGGTGAGCGTGCCCAGACTCCTCGCCCTGCCGGCTTTCAAGCTCCTGGAGGCGTTTCCTGAGCCTGTCTACTGTCCGGAGGTTCCCCCCGTAGATTTCCCCAAGTATTTTTTGGGGGAGGGCAGTAGGTACTCTGTGGGGGCCATGGAGGCGACATTGACATGGCCCTTGCCTCGCCCTGCTCCGCCCTGGCCTCGTCCTGCTCCGCCCTGGCCCTGGCCTCGTCCTGCTCCACCCTGGCCACCTCCCCAGTCAGGTCTGCCTACACTATGCGGCCCAGGCCCGCCGTGGCTATGTCCTGAGCCCGTTCCCCTGCACGGGCCTGGCCCTCCGTCCCTCCCCCAGGATCGCCTTCGCTCATCCCCCCGCCTGGATCGTTTTTGGAGCATCTGGAAGCCGCTCCTTAGAGGGGGGGTTATGTAACGATGATCGGCTGGATTGCCCTCAAATGCCATGAGAGGGCACTCCACTTCTGAACTGCTGTTCCCTGAACTGATTACGCACACACCTGTTTCCATTGATCACTCTCACACCTGCATCTAGTTCCACACGCAGCTCTTTTTTTTGCACAGCTCTATAATGGCTTGTCAATATCGTCTAATCTGGCAGTTTCAGTGTTGGATAACCTAATAGACTCAAGTCAAATGAAGCAGAGAATCATTTCTATAAACCAATTCATTGAAAGGCATACATTTTATTTTTTTATTTTATAAATGTTTTGAGATGAAACAGAAGATAGATTCATGTCTGTGCAAACTGGTCTCAGGCCTGTTAAATAGTATATGAAATGTGTAGTTCAGAGTGTGCTATCAGGTGATCATTTCTAGGAATGTTTTCACAGTCTTACAAAGTTAAAATGTGTTTTGTTGTTTCAGAGGAAGAAGTTTTGTACCAGAATTACCAAGAGAAAGCACTGCACAATGATTCTGATGAGGACACTGAGCCCAAACAACCTCAGCCAGATGAAGGCATTGTGGTCCAATACAGACCCATCCGGACATCCTGGAGTCAGCTTAGTGTGGTGAGAAACTATGGAGGAACATATGCATACCTTTCAAAATCTTTGAGTTTTGATGGATATTTACAGTTTTACACAAATAGATATTTGTTTATAACCTTTAACACACTCTGCTGTGGCAGTGTTTTGGAGTTCTGGAATTTTAAGGAATGTCATGCGGCTCTGTTTTGCTGGGTGTCCTAGCCTCAGTTTTTATTCAAGAGAGCAAGGGATTGAAAGCAGGTGTTTTTTATCCAAATGTAGGAGGGAAACAGAAGGAGAGTAGGCTGGGATAAGCTTGTCCATTGGGAAATGGTCTGGCAAGCCTCCAGTTCCTTGGCAAATAGCGGATAATTCTTCCCCATGGAAAAATTTAAAAAATGTAGAGGGATAGAACAGTGTAATGACCAGTTATGGATTTATGTAATCGGGTTTGGAAGGCTTTAACACTATTTTGCACTTAGTGTTCTGTTCCCCAGTGTTTTTGTTAACTAATATCTGGGAATGTTTAAGCAGGAATGTTCTAATGCTATGTTTGAGAGAGAAGCAAACTGTATCATTGTTATGAACCAGCAACCACCAGCAGAAAGAACGAGCAAGAGAATGCTAGAACGCTAGAAAGAGAGAAATAAAAATGGAGAGTGTAGAAGGCAAAGCAGAAAAAAACGATCTATCTAATATCTATATCAAAGAATGTAGAGTGACACAGAAAAAAGAAAGGACAAAGTGTACGATGGAAAGAAGAAAAAGTGTATCAGTTTGAAATGGCTTGAGTATATGGGCTTATGAGCATAGACAGTAAAAGAAATGGACAGAGCGATCTCATTGAACTCCATTGAGAACTCCATTGAGACGATTGAAGCCCGCTATTTTTTAGCACTTCCATCCCTGACGCACGGACTCAAACAGAGCTTGACTACGTAATGTGACGAGAGCAACCCGTCTGTCTTCTAGTGCTGTGGCATGAGAAATCTGAATCATTCCCTTCCGAAACATGCAGAGGCGGAGAGTGTGGATAGGAGCTGTCCATGAGCTAGGAGAAGGAGACAATTCTGCTAGGTATTCTGATTAATTATTTTGTCATTTTGCCTCCACGTTTCCCCGATTGCAGACGAACTTCTTCTCCTGTCCATACGGTAATCTCTCTACTGTGCGACAGAGAGTCGCGTGGTTATGACGCAATCGTTAGCCTACTTTCACTAAAACTGCTTCTACGGGGCCATAACATAAGCTACAAGGTAATGGAGCATTTTATACTGTACATTGTCGTGTTTCTTTAGAAATAAATAAAGGACAAATGGGGTCTTCAAACGCCTCAGATGTAAAGTTATTTGCTGTCAAAGTGACGTCAAAATGAATGGGAGGCAATGGGAATGCTAACGCAAGTGAAGTTCTGCTACAAGATGGTAGCTCCCGCGTGGCTTCAACTTCCGGTCGATGGATTACCCCCTTGCTTATGAGGGATCTCTGGTTGTGTGGTGTATTGTTGGTATTGGCAGGAGGGCATGGAGCTTTAAAGGTCCCCTGACATGGGTTTTTTTTTATTATTCTATTATGTTTCCTGGGTTAGATATTTGATATTTTTTAGATCAAAAATAGTCATAATTTAGAAATAAAAGGCATTTTTCCTTGCCTGATTTTAGCCTCTGCTTAGAACGGTCTGTTAGAAGGGGCGTGCCTGCTGTGGGATTCAATGCAACCGCCCACTGCTGTGATTGGCTGACATGCTTGCATATGAAATAGCTACATATTACATGTGAAACTCTCTTGAATACATTTTACTACAGCTATTATACGTTTTTACTATTACAGATATCGAGATTACTGAATCATGAGAAATTTTTGAAGTATTTAGATTCTCATCACATAAAATATTGCTGTGATGAGCATTGAGTAGATTGAGTCGATCGCGAAAATGATCTTATTGAATAATCATGCAGTTTCTGCACTCTCTGCTTTCACCAATGCAGACACGATGATGTACAGCAAGAGCTTTGTTGTGCAGTGTAACGCAGTTTATATTCTCTCTAAAGCCCGAAACTCGTCCGCTCTCGTCGAGGTAAAAAGCTGCACTTGAACTCACAGAGAGAACTGCCGACTGACAGCTAGAATCTGCGTTCTGCGCCTGCATTTAATGAGCAAACTGTCTATTTCTGCAGATATATTAGTCTATATTCGTCATTCAAAAAGGAAAACCGACGCTGCGGCTGCAGATAACGTAACGTTAAACAAAGCAGCGCGTGCTTACCGAATATCAATAAATCCTGCTAAACACTTTCTTTAAATAAGATTATTTTCATCCTACTCAAAGAAACGTTGTGAAGTTGACAATAGTCTGGCTTGACTTACTGATGTATAAACAGTATCGAACGATTTTGAGAGAAAGATTAACTTACCTGTCTCCTAGCCATACAAAACTTTGGGAGTTGAGTCGGCGCATTTCCAGAGAAAATAAAATTAACCCATTGTTTCTTCAGAGGCGCGGATGAAGGAACTAAAAAATACTTTTGTGTTCATTTGTTCAACCGAACACTGAGCAACTGCCATGCTTCGCTCGTTTGCAAGCCATGATATTTCTCTCGAGGAAAAACTCAAATCTCAAAGCTAGGAAAAAAAAAAAACGTGCCTGCGCGTGTTCGTTGCTTCTGTGGGCAGGCAAAGCAGAGAAAGGGGAGTAACCTTTCCACTATTATGACGTTTATAGAGGGAGATTCTAGATCCGCGCGTCTGAGGTGCAGACGGATGCAGAGAAGAGAAAAATAGCCAAAGCTCGGTTTACACCGATTGAAAATTCTAGACACGAGGGGACCAAATACAGTCTAGGGGAAATCTACCCAGACCCCAAGAAACTTGAAAACCCTAACTCTCCTAAGAGGTTCCCCATACAACTTAAGACCTGGACTATTTATATTCCTCTTCCTGCCAAAAACCATATACTTTGTTTTTGTCAATGATAGTCTAAAACCCCACTTATCACTCCAATCCTGCACTTTATTCAAAGCACACTGCATTTGTTTAAATAAAAACCCAGTATTACGGCCTCTTTTCCATAATGCTCCATCATCAGCAAAAAAAGATTGCTGAAATCCACTTCCTACTTCATCAAACATATTATTAACCATTATATTAAACAAGACTGGGCTAATTACACTACCCTGCGGAGTCCCATTTTCTAGAAACATAGAATACGAAAAGCTCCCTCCTAGCCTGGATGCTGCAGCCCGAACTCCGCCCACAACATTTTTTGGTCGGGAAGTTCGGTCTGGACTCGATCCATTGAGGAGTAATTATGATCAGGCAAAAAATGATCGGGCCAATCAGATTGGCAGGGCGAGCTTTATACGATGATGGACAGATGATCTGCAGGGACGTAATCATCATGTTATCAAAGAGCGCTTGTCAAAGAGAGAATTGAGATGTATAGATTCCGCTGTCGCGCCTTTTGTAAAATAAAACGACAGCGCATTCATTTTAATAGACAAACAGAGAACTGCAATCAAGGCATTTGTCGATCGGAAAGAGATTTTTGGCGTCCTTCCTACATGATTCGGGAAAAGTGTAACTTATCAGCTGTCTCTGACAGTCGTTAAGAAGATGGGACGTAATGAAAAGCCTGTGGTCGTTGTGGTTTCTCCTTTGAATGGCACTCATGGAGAAGTAAGTAAAAGAAGCAACACTGGTTATTTAACTTCTAAAATAAATAAAGTTAGGCTACGTTCTGTATTTGAAAATTGGGCTATGCAAAGGAGTTGACTTACTGCATTGCTCTGATTGGTTGTAGGTCTACCGACTATCCAATTGAGTGCAGAGGTTTTTCTTTTTCCTGGTTCGGTTACGACACGCCTCATAATCAAAGCCCAACGGAGGAGTTTCAGACTCATATTCTCTCTTGAATATGAGTATGACGAAGTCAGACTAGCTCCCTCCTACTTTTACCTGAATACATTGTGCTTTCAGAAAGTCCTTAAATCCAATTGATCATTCTGCCCCGAATCCATGCATCATACAACTTAATGATTACTCCTTCCTTCCACAGCATATCATAAGCCTTCACAATGTCAAAAAACACACCTAACACCACCTCTTTATTTACTTTAAGGGCTTTCTTGATATCATCATCCAACACTAAAACTGAATCCATAGTACTTCACTTGTACTTGTATGTACTTGTAGTACATAAGCTGCCGGTGGAGGGCTTTCCGCTTCTCTCCTTCTTGAGTCAGCCACTACATGTTGCAACCTTTTTGACCGCCTCAGTATAAGATACCCCTTTGTTAATCTCTCTAAACTGCTGTAACCTCATAGCCAGCTTATAATGTCCACATTCACGATTTCCACCTATGTGCCCTCCACCACATGTACCACACTTTACCATCTTCTCCTTACACTCAGAGAACTCATGCTCACCTCCACACTTTCCACATCTTCTATCTCCTCTACAAGCAGCTGCAATATGTCCATACCTCTGACACTTAAAACACCTCAAAGGAGGCCTTCTGTATGGATGTACTTTAAATAACACACACCCTAGTAACATTCTTTCTGCCAGGACTCTTTCCTGAAAAGATACCACCACAGTTAATGTTTCTCGCTTAACTCCGTCACAAAAAACTTTAATTCGTGTAGCCTCACAATCCTCGCCCCCTCTATGCCCCTCACTAACTCAACCATGGAAATCTCCAAAGAAACCCCATAAATCACCCCTTTTAAACTCACCTTGCTCCCCGGAAGTAATTATGAAGAGTTATGCAATTTCGTGTCTACGACAAACACATACAAACATTTTGGACTTGAATTTGTATATTTACTAATTTTGTACATGTATTTTTCATGTATATATACTTTTGACGATTTGATCAAGAACATAAACCAATGGCAACGCTGTTTGTGTATATAGTAGCCAGTTAGTTTGATGCTATTGTGTAAAACAAACGTGCATAAAGTAAAAAAAAAAAATATATATATATATATTGGCAAATGACCATTCAGAAACGTTTTGTAAGAGCCGTGTGTGGTGAGGTTCT